CATCTAGAGATAAATATATATGCATATATATATATATATATATATATATATATTTAGGTTAGCTTAGTTTGATGCGGGGCCTCCGCCTTTGTCTTTGGTGTTTAAAGGCGAAGACAAACAAAACAAATTTAAATTCTTCTTTATTTCAACTGCACAGCTGCTGCTTGCAGCAGTTAGCGGTTGCAACAACAGCAGCAGCAGCACGTGCAGCAGTACCAGCAGCAGCAGCACATGCAGCAGTAAAAATAGCACAGGGTGTGGCCCAGTTAACTATACAAGCGGTGCCCTTCGTTGCTGCTGATGTTGTTGCTGTTGCTGCTGCTGCTGCTGCTGCGGTTGCTGCTGCAGCTGCTGCTGGGGTTGCTGCTGCTGCTGCTGCTGGGGTTGCTGGGGTTGCTGCTGTAGCAGCAGCATGTGTCTGCCACTGTTGTGACGGGGCTGTTGCTGCTGCAACTCTTTGAGTCTGAGTTTGCATGCATCTAGTTTTTGCTTGAGGTGTGCAGCAGCAGCGGGGATATCATAGCGCCTCGCTGCTGCGACCTGCTGCTGCTGCTGCACCTGCTGCTGCTGCTGCTGCAGCAGCAGGCCTCTGGGGTGTACGTACACCTCAGGCGCATGCACACAAAACTTAGCAAATTCTCCATCCATCAGAGTTAAAATATTATAACCCAAAGCACTCCAAACGCGGTGACGTAGAAAAACCTCGCCTAGCTGCAATCCGCTACCCTGCAGCAGCAGCAGCAGCAGCAGCACATGCAGCAGCAGCAGCACATGCAGCAGCAGCACGAAAAACTGTGCCATCCCACGTGCAGCAGAAGAAACTGCAGCAGCAGCAACAGCAGAATTCACAAGCAGCGCAGCAGCAACAGCAGCGGGACCGTCGGCAGCAACCGAACAGTAGCAGCAGCAGCAGCAACATAAGCAGCAGCAGCAAGATAAACAGTAACGGCGGCAGCAAGATAAACAGCAGCAGCAGCAGCACATGCGGCACACCAGGTGAATAGGTGATGTCTTGAGAGGCTCTAGTATGAGGTTTAGAGATTTAATAACAAAGGGCGCGGTGTATAGGCAGGTAGGAACAGCAGCAGCAAACTCAATCCCTAGGTGCTGCAGCAGCAAAGGATATGGGGGTGTTTGGTGCTGCTGCTGCTGCTCTCTCGCTGCTGCTGCCTTCCACGCCTCGTGCTGCTGCCAGGCTGCTGCAGCGCGCCGCCAGAGCTGCTGCTGTTGTTGCAGCTGCTGCTGCTGCAGCATGTCTACCGCATGCAGCCCCAAAACTCCTGCAGCAGTCAAACCCTCGTAGTAATGCAGAGAGGAAGGACCCCCCCTCTGCAGCACTTGAGGTGCCCTGAAGCATTAACAGCAGCAAAAGGGTTTAGGGTCTAGGGTTTAGCAGCAACACGTCTGCTGCAGCAGCAGCAGCAGAGACTGTCCGTGCTGCTGCAGCAGCGCAGCTCCAGCAGCAAAAACTAAGGGTTACAACAACACTACAACTGACAGCAACAGCAGCAGAAGCAGCAGCAGCAGCAAGAGCACCAGCACCACCACCATAGCAGCGGTAGCACAGCAGCAGCAGCACAGCAGCAGCACCACCATAGCAGCAGCAGAGCAGCAACACCACCACCAAAACAGCAGCAGCAACAACAGCAGCAGCAGAGGAGCAGCATGCATCTGAGATGTGGTTTGCCCGACATAGCAGCAAGAGCTATCCAATCTGCTTTATGTTGGTGCTGCTGCACTGCTGCAGACCAGACAAGAGAAGAGATGCTGCGGGGCTGAAGGAGACAAACTTCGTCAGCAACTTCAAACAGAGACAGCGCCTCGCTGCAGGGCCAGCCGGATACTGAAAGAGACAGCAAGCAATCCACAGCCTAAGCAGCACAACAGCAGCAGCAAGAGCAGCAGCAGCAGCAGCAGCAGTAGGAAAGCAAAATAATGGAGACAATTAAACAAAGCAGGAGGCATAAAAAAGGAGACATCAATTGTGCAGCAGGAGAAGCATCAGCAGCAGCAGCTGCTGCTGCTGCTGTTGCTGCTGCTGCTGCAAATAGAGACAAGACATAGTAGATACTACATTTGTTGCACCATTTGCAACGGTGACGGCAATCGCAGCAGCAGCAAAATCATTCAATACGTGCGCAGACAGCAGCAGCAGCAGCAGCAACAGCAACAGCGAGCGCTGCAGCAACAGCAGTAGCACCACCAAACACTGCAGCAGCAGCAGCAACAGCAACAGCAGCAAGACCTACTCCCTCTAGGGATATGGTTTTGCTGCGGATGGCATTGCAAAGAGCAGCATGGAGCTGCTGCAGCACCGCGCTGCTGCTGCTGTTGCTGCTGCAGCAAGCAACAGCTAACAGCGGCAGCAACTTGCCCCCTAAGGAAGCACCAACCCGCAGCAGCCGCTGCACCACAGCAAACACAACTGCAGCAACTACCAATGCAGCAGCAGCAGAAGTAGCAGAAGCAGCAGTAGCAGCAGCAGCAGTAGCTGCAGCAGCAGCAGGCGTGCCTGGTGCTAGTTGCTGCACCAGCAACCGCAGCAACTACAACAGCAGCAGCAGCAGCAGCAGCAGCAGCAAAACCAAAAGCACAAAAGGCATCATGCCCCTGTTCCACCAATCCAGTTTAACGCTAGGGTTTAGGGTTTAGGGTTTAGGGTTTACCTCCTCCAGAGAGCGCAGCAGGGGCCTGGCTGCAACGCATCTGTCGTTATACAGCAGCAGCAGAGACAGCTGCTGCTGCTGCTGCAGCGATCCAACAGCCGGCAGCAGCACCTCAGAAAGCTGCAGCAGCTCCTCCGCGCTCATATGGCCTGCAGCAGCAGCAGCAGCAGCAGAAGAGTACGTACAGCATCGACGCGCTGACAGGACACAGAAGCAAACATATTCTCTATAAACAGCAGCAGCAGCGGGAGCAGCAACAGCAGCAGCAGCAAGAACAGTTAAAGCATGAGAAGCAGCAGCAGCAACAGCAGCAGCAGCAGAACCAGCCAACGCAAAGCAGCAGGAAGAGCAGCAGCAGAAATACACGGGCCAGCCGCAGCAACACGAGGAGCAGCAGCAGCAGCAGCAAGAGCAGCAGAAGAAACAGCAAGAACAGCAGCAGGAGGAACAGCAGAAGCAGCATGAGAAGCAGCAGCACTAGCAGCAAGAACAGCAGCAGCAGCAAGAGCAGCAGCACCTGCTAAAGCAACTGCTCCTTCTGCTAGTGCTTGAGGGTGCAGGTTCCGCGCGTGCTGCAGCAGACTGTCCTTTGCTGCTGCTGCTGCTGCAGCAGAAGGAGACAGCTGCCCAGCAGCAGCACTCACGTCCACTACAACTGCAGCGCACACCGCAACCCCACATATTCCTGCTGCTGCTGCTGTTTTAGCTGCTGCTGCCGTTGCTGCTGCTGCTGCTGCTGTAGCTGCTTATTCCTTTCTGATGCTTCTGGTGCTGCTGCTGCTTCTGTTGCTACTGCTGCTTCTGTTGTTGCTGCTGCCTCCGTTGCTGCTGCTGCTTCTCCCGGTGTTGCTGATTCTACTCCTGTTGCTGCTACTGCTGCTGCAGCAGCCATATACCGAGTATATAGGGGACGGTTTATGCTGCCTAGCTAACTAGCTATTGGGTGGGTAGCTAGCTAGCTAGCTAGCCAGCTAGCTGGCTAGCTAGCTAGCTGCAGCAGCACGTACGAGGGTCTGGGAGGTCTTGAAAGGAGAAATCACCGCGAGATAATAATTCGCTCACCAACTCTCGCCCCTCTGCAGCAGCAGCAGCAGCAGCAGCAGCAGCAGCAGCAGCAGCAGCAGCAGATACCGTAGGAGAAGCAGCAGCAGCAGCAGCAGATGCAGAAGCAGCAGCAACGAAAGCAACAGTAGCAGCGAACACCATCCAGTAGAAGCAGCAGAGAACATGCAGCAGCGGCGGCGGCAGGAGCAGCAGCAGCAACAGCAGCAGCAGCAGCAGCTTGCCTGGTATCCCTGTGTATACATGCAGCAGCTTTACTAAGACATCTCGCGGCGCCTCTGAGAGCAAACGCACAACACAACAACTTCTGCTGCTGTTGCTGCTTCTGCTGTTGCTGCTGCAGCTGCAGCTGCACTCCACATGATGCTCTTTCTGCTGCTGTTGCTGCTTCCGCCTCAGCAAATGCAGTTCAGCCATGTGGCTCTCAATACTCCTGTGCTACTGCCTTTCCTGTTTCTGCTCCTCTGCTGCTGCTGCTGCTGCTGCTGCTGAAGGCATACTCGGTGCAGCAGCAAGTTTGCTGCTGATCGCACGAAGCACAGATGCTTCTTTTAAAAACGTCATCCGCCCCCGAAGCGTCTGGTGGCTGAATGGGTGCAGCATATTGGCTAGGACCTCAAGGGACACCTGCTGCTGCTGCTGCTGCTGTTCCTGCTGCTGCTGCTGTTCCTGCTGCTGCAGCAACTGCTGCAGCCCTGCATGCATGCGGGCGTTTGCAGCAATGAAGAAGAACTCGGATGAAACTCCACGAGGCAAAACTGCTGCAGCAAGCCACGACACCCGACCAACCTGCAGCAACAGCAGCAGCAGCAGCAGCAGCAGCAGTGAGAAGGGGATGCAGCAGCAGCAGCAGCAACACATGTGCATGCAGCAGCAGGTAGTTCGGACGGGATAAGTGTGTTTATAAGGTCCTCTATCTCTTCTACAGCAGCATCTGCAACGGCGCAACAGCAGCAGCAGCAACACCAATCTCTAGCTGCTGGGCAGCACTAGCCTAGCAGCAGCAGCAGCAGCAGCAGCAGCAGCAGCAGCAGCAACGGGGACCGTTATGCTTCCTACATCGATGAGGGGCGCCAGATGAAGTTTTTCTTCGTAGACACAAAACAGAGACCTGGCAAACCTTTCCAAGCTGCTGCTGCTGCTGCTGCTGTTGCTGCTGCAAGGGGTTTGCTGCAGTTGCTGCGGCTGCTGCTGCTGAAGCAGCAGCAAAATAGCCGCCGACTGTATGGCGTTGTAGAGCTGCGCTGAGGAGAGAGACGCCAGCCGCAGCAGCAGCAAAGACGAATGTGTCTCTGCTGCTGCAAGCAGAAACTGTGGGGCCGTCCAGCGTTCGCTGCTGCTGCTGCTGCTGCTGCTGCTTGCTGCTGCAGCAGCAGTGGAGCCCTCTTGCTGCTGCAGCGCACGACGGGGGCCCCATGAAGGGCCCCAGGCTACGAAATCTGGTGTTGTGCATTGTATGAGTTGGTTTGCTGCTGCTGCTGCTAGCTGCTGCAGCTGCTGCAGCGGCTGCTGCACAGGGTCTCCTCCGCTTGTGTGGCGTCTCCAGTTAAAGCGTAACCCTGCTAAAGCATCTGCTGCTGCTGCTTCTGCTGCTGCTGCCTCTGCTGCTGCTGTTGTAGAGGAGTCTGTTGCTGCTGCATCGACTCGTGTGGCTGCTGCTGCCTGTGCAGCAAGCAGGGGGTTCGGGTAAAATGTTGCTGCTGCATCTCTCAGCCTTGTTGCTGCTGTTGCTGGTGTTGCAGCAGCAGCAGCAGCAGCTACTGCTGCTGCTGTCGTATAGTTTCTCGTGGCAGCTACATGCAGCGCTGAACGCTTCGTGAGAGACCAGATGCCGCCCCAGCTAGTTGTTGCTGCTGCTGTTGCTGTCGCTGCTGCTGCTGCTGCTGCTTCTTGGCTGCTGCTGCTGCTGCTGCAGCAGACACACCCTCCCAGACGAAGGGCTCCTAAGGCCCTCACAGGTGCAGCAAGCCTTTCAGGCAGCAGACAGCCGGCAGCAATAGAGAAGGAGCCTCGAGCCATATCGTGAGTTGCTGCAGCAGCAGCAGCAGCTGCTGCTGCTGCTGCTGCTGATCTGCTGCAACTGCAGCGTAGTGTTAGAGTAGATGAGTTGTATATCTTTCTGTAAATTTTTGTGTTTTGTTTGAATATAAATGCAAATAATTATTGTAAATAAACCGATGTAAGAAATTCTATTAGCTCCGCATGCAGCCCCACAAGCTGCTGCTGTTGCTGCTGCTGCTGCTGCTGCTGTGGCTGCTGTTGTTGTTGTTGTTTTTGCTGCTGTTTGTTGCTGTTGGGTGTTTGTATTGATTTTTCATTGCATAGAGGCGTTTGTTTTGTTATGCTTCTAGCTGGGTTTGCTTGTGGTGTTTGCTAGGGTTTAGGGTTTAGGGTTTAGGGTTTAGGGTTTGGATCGAGCGGCTTGGAGGGAATCGATAGCATCAGCATCGTGTATCTTGTTGTTTATTTTCTTGTTTTTCTTCTTTATTTCTTTATTTATATTTAACTCTTTTGAGGCTTACACTGTCTTCCCGCCAGCCTTGACAAGGGTTTCTGCTGCCGGAGTGTTTGTTAGGGTTTAGGGTTTAGGGTTTAGGGTTTAGGGTTTATGGGGGTGTATAAGGGTTTATTAGGGTTTGCGCTTGTTCAGTAGTCTTCAGGATAAGGGTTTATAACGAGGGTTTATAAGAGTAGGGTTTGCTGCAGCATATAATCTAAGCTATAGATATAAATAATTAGGGTTTATATAGAATTAGGGTTTATAAATAATAAGAGTTTATAACAAAACAAATTAGGGTTTATATATATATATATATATCTATATATCTCTATATCTATATATATCTATATATATCTATATATATCTATACATATCTATATATATATCTAAATATATTAATATATATAAATAAATAGATATAAATAGATAAATAGAAGTAAGAAAATACAATAAATAAACATAGACTAAAAAAACATAAAAAAAGAAGTAATAAAACAATATAATGTCTGTACTTCAGAAGATAGCAGAAGTTGAGGGTGAGATAGCCCGTACACAGAAGAACAAAGCAACAAATTATCATTTAGGTTTATTAAAAGCAAAATTAGCCAAGTTAAGAGGACAACTCATTGAGAACACGGGCAAGAAGTCTGGAGGCGGCGGCGAAGGCTTCGATGTCTCAAAGACAGGAGACGCTCGCGTCGGCCTCGTTGGCTTTCCCTCTGTCGGCAAGAGTACTCTTCTTAATAAACTCACCGGTAATTAGTTATTTAGTTATTTAGTTATTTAGTTATTGTTTATTTGTTTATTTATTTGTTGTTTGTTTATTTGTTTATTGTTTGTTTGTTTGTTTGTTTGTTTATTTATTTGTTTATTTGTTTGTTTGTTTGTCTATTTATTTATTTATTAGCTGTTTGTTTGTTTATTTATTTATTTATTTATTTATTTGTTTGTTTATTTATCTATTTGTTTATTAGCTGTTTATTTATTTATTTATTTATTTATTTATTTATTTATTTATTTATTTATTTATTTGCTTATCTATTTATCTATTTATTTATTCGTTGTTTGTTTGTTTGTTTGTTTTTTTGTTTGTTTGTTTGTTTACTTGTTTGTTTATTTGTTTATTTGTTTGTTTATTTGTTTGTTTGTTTGTTTATTTATTTAATATTTGTTTGTTTGTTTATTTTGATGTATATAGTTTATTTGATGTGCATATTTAGGCGTATATTAATTCTTTTTATTTGTTTAATCATTTAAATACTTATATATATATATATATATATATATATATATATATATATATAT